CCAGTGAGGATGGAAAGCGCCTTGTGGGATCCAGCTCCACTCTCCTAGAGGGAAGACCATGCTCCTCAAATGCTCCTTGGTTCAGTGTGAAGTCCATTCAGAGCTGCTTTTACCACATCCCCCAAACACCAGTGGCTTAGAGTCCTGGATCCTTTCCTGGGTCTGCATTGCCCCCTACCCAGGGGACTGAGGTACTGCTCGCTGCACTCTCCCCAGGATCTCTCAGGGGTCCTGGTGATTCCTAGGTTCCTATCATAGCTCAGAAAGTTACAGTCACATAGAACACGCACATACACCCACAGATTCAGATGTGTGCGCAGACCGAGGGGCCTGTGTGTGTGTGTTACAGGCACACTATTTCACACCCGTCTACATGGATCATGAACCTGAGCAAACGTGGCTACAGCTGTTTCTAGAGACAGATGCCGGAGCGGGCTCCAACCCTATGGATGCCCTTGTGGAAATGCACAGGTGTTCTTCCTTGCCCCACCCCCATCCCCTCTGCCCAGAAAACCTTCAGGGACTCTTTCCCCACCTCAAATCCTCATCAGCTCATTATTTTTTTGGATTGACTTCTACCCTCCTACAGTCTTCCCACCCGACATGTCTGAAATACAAGTTTGTCCTTTAACTTATCAGTCCCAGCTGCCAGGATCTCATCCTGGATTTCCTTGTGGGAGAGCACATGGAACAGAGAGCTCTTCCTGTCTTGGAAACACCCCACCAGTCTCCTTGGAGTCCCTTAGCCACAGACACTAAGGAAATGGAGGCAGTGACAAGGCAGGGGTGGAGGGGGGCAGGGAACAGGTCTCCATGGCTAGAGAAGCATCTCTCCAGCCTAAAATGCCAGGTCCCATAGGCCCACCCCACTGCTCCCTGGCTCCACCCAGGTGGGACAAAAATGTCCCCCCCACCCCCGGCACTCCCAGGGCTGTGCTGCTGGGACTGAGTCTACCCTGTCCAAAAAGGCCTCTTTTGTGACCTCAATCCTGCCATTTGGTCCCATGAGGCTAGCAGGGGTGCCCTTTCCTGTGCTGGACACTCCCAGAGCAGAAACAGGAAGCTGGCCCAGCCATTGCTCCCCAATATTTCCACAGGCCTTCACTGTGTCAGCATGACCATTGGCATGGGCTTATGCTGCAAATAAGCCTGGCCAGAAGAGGGGTAGTGAAGCTGGGGCAGTCCTGGGGGGCTCCCCAGGGAGAGATGGCTTCCACCTTGATGAGTGGAGAGGCAGGGGAGAAGCACCCTGGGGAAGCTGCCTGTCAGAAGGGTAGGAACCATGAGCTGGAGGCAGAATGAGTTTGCTCTCCGGCCCTAGTGCAGCTACCTTATCAACTGCAACACTACACGAGCCTGTCCTTTCTGGTCCTGTGTTGCGTTCTGTAAAGTGGGGACAGGAAATCTCAGCACTTACTACATGTGTTAAATGAGGCTTGTTTATGAAGGTGCCTGAGGATGTCAGATATGATGATGAGGAGAACAATTGAAAATCTCATAGCCCTTGCTGGACGAGGATGGTCAACCTGGGCCATGGATGGCATCGAACAGTGGGGCTGGGACAGGCAGGGAATGGGGCTCAGAGACAGTGGCCCACGACATACCCAGGGTAGGGCTTGGCAGCAGGGGAAAACCAGCTTGTTGTGATCTGGAGCAACTGTGCTGGGCTCTCAGGGCTTCTCTCCCCATTGCTAGATCACTAGGGCGGGAGGTGCAAGTACCCACCTAACCCCATTTCCCCGCCTGCTTCTCCCCCTGTTCCATTTCAGAAGCTGAGGCCAAAAGAGCATGTGAGTGGCTCCGGGCAACAGGATTTCCTCAGTATGCTCAGCTTTTTGAAGGTGAGGCTCCCCTTCTTCCCCCTACCCCAAAGCTTTCCTCATCCTCCCATTTTGTTTTTCATCTCTAATGGGGCAAATCAGATGCTGTCTCTGACCTCACTTAAAGCTGTGTGCCCAGATCCTGCTCAGAGTTTTTCAGGGGCTCTGCTCCTCTAGTTCAGCCCACTTCCTATGTCAATGTCTCTGCTGGAGCACTCTCGTAAGCTCGGGTGTTGCCCACATCTTGAGCAAGGCCGCAACTTCATACCCCTTTTGGGCTCAGCGTTTACATAGGTATCAAATGGAGTGTCCGCTCTGATGGCTCTGCTCTCACCTCATCTTCCTCACGGCCTCGTTTTTGTTTCCCTTCATTTTCTTTTTTTTTTTTTTTAAACTTGTTCATGCTTGCTCTTTCCACTTCCCCTTTTCCTTTCACAGCCCCCACTGCACCCTGGCTTCATCCCCATTCTGTTAGCAAAACAGGCCTTGTCAGGCTCTCTGGTGACCTCTCTGTGGTCAGATTCAGTGGTCATTTCCCAGTCCTCACTCATCCTCTCAGCAGCACTTAGTGCAGTTGACCACTCTCTGCTGGACTAGGATCATCTGCTTCTGGAACACTCCCCCACTCCTGGCTCTGTCTCGCTGCTGCTCTCAGTTTCCTTAGCTGCCTCTGCTCCCTCCACTGATAGCCAGTGTGTCTCAGCACTCAATCCGACCCCTCTTCTTTTTCAACATTTCTTTCCCAGAGCTCCTGCTCAAGGGATTCCTTGTGCCATCTGTATTCTGATGACTGCCAAGTAGCTCTCTATGTGGACGTCACTTCCAAACGTCAGACCTGTTTCACCACCAATTTAGTATCGACACAGTTGTCTAACAGTTGTGTAAGATCTAACAGGTCTAAATACCAATGCTTCAGAGCAAGACCATGTGAGCCCCACATTCAGGACATCTCTGTAATTCCTCCTTCCCTTTGCCCCCCCGCCCCCAGGTCTGACCCTGTGGAAGCCCCTTCTCCCTTTGGAGTATATTTTGAATCAATTTACTTCCTACCACCTTCATGGCCATATCTGGTGTGATTCAATATAATCGCTTGCCTGGCCTTGTGATTCAGCTTTCTTCCTGTGTTCCCTTCTCCACTCCGGAGGCACGGAAGCTAGAGGGACCCCACGAGCTTGGACCCGACTCTGCCGCTTTTCCACGGCAAACCTTCCTCTGACTTCCCAACACACTCAGTGAAGTAAGCCTGAGCCGGCACTTGTGTTCTCACCCTCCAGCCCCCACCACCCAACTTCTCTCCATGCTTCTCCTCCCAGGCGCCTTCCTACAGCCTGCTCACACGGGGCTTTTCCCAGGCCTTCATGGTCACCTGGCCTGGGACTCTCCCCAGGCTGTTTGCATGGCTGGCCCTTATTCTCTGGACTCAGCTCAGAAGTCACTGTCTCAGAAAGTCCTTCACTGGGTACCGCGAGTAGCCCCCACCCCAGCCTCCCTTTACCCTATCACCCCAGATAATGTCCTCCATGGCAATTATAGTTGCAATCAGTTGTTTATCTGATATATTGTTTATTGCCTGTGGCCCCCAGGAGAACGTAAACCCCATGAAGGCAAGGGTTGTTTTTGTCTTATTCATTGGTGTATCCCCAGTGTATGGCACAAAGTAGGTGCTCAGTGAATGTTAAATGAGTAGATGGGCTTGTTTTACCAGTAAGGCTTAAAGATGTTCAACTTCCCTCTCCCTTCTCCTTTGCTCATTCTTCCCCCTCTTCCCGCTCCCCTGCTCTGGGTCACCTAGACATGATCTCCTCTGTCTTCCATTCTCCCTGCCCCCTGGCCCAAAGAAGAGGCTCCCAGTTTGAGCAGCCCAGGATTTAAATAGGTCTGGGAGAGCCCAGATTGGCTCTTGTAACCACCTACGGCCTTAGGCTTACAGTCTCTCATGGAGCGGCCTCAGTGGCTGGTGGGTCCTCTCATTCAGCTCAGCTCTTCAGCCTATCCCCTAACAGCCACTCCTGAGCTCCTGCCCCTGCCTTTTACTTTGGGTTTTCTCCTTCTCCTCGGCTCCAGCCATCTTGCCTACCTGCTTCCCCGGCTTCCCTCTTCCAGCTCAGGGTCACTGGCACTGAGTGCTTCACCTACCACTCTGGACTCATCTTGGCTTCTCTCTACCATACAGAAGATTCGTTTCCCCTGGATATTGGCTCTGTGAAGAAGGACCACGGTTATCTGGACGAGGACTCTTTGGGGGCCCTGTGCAGGTAGGGGACTTTGGGTCAGGCCTGGGAGATCAAGTGCCTGGCTTGGGACTTCCTTCTGGAAAAAACTTGATCCCTGTAACAAGAGGACGCTAGCCTGTTCACCAGGTGCATCTGCTGGGGTCACCAGGTTTACTGTGGTTTCCTTGTCATTCAGGCACCCTAGCTGAAAGCCCAGACGTGGCTTGAATGCCTTTCTCCCTTAAGTGAGGTCCCCCAAACATTCTTCTGTCATGTTTCCTCTACTCGTACTGTTTGGCCCTTCTTTAGGCCAAACCACGACTTCTCCTTGAAACCATTTTAGTTGCCTCCTCATTGGCCATCCTGCTATCAGGCTTGGCATTCTCCTCCCAGCCCTCTCAGCCTCCCTACAGTGGCCAGGAGCAGCCTCCAAGCTGTGCCCCTGTGCTTAAACCCTGTCCCTGCCCACAGGGGATAGTCCAAAGCTTTTTGAACATGCAGGGTACTGGATCCTTTTTTGCAGTCTGGCTCTGACGTAACCTTAGCAGCCTCAGTCATTGTCTCACACCCACACTGGTCTGTCCACTGACCACTGCCTTGCCGGCTCCTGTTGGCTAATTTCCCTCACCCTCCAAACCTCATTTTTGTCCTCTGAGAAGCCTTCTCCACCTGCATTCCCCTCTGTTCATGGATATTTCTTCTTCCACCTGCTCTGTGCCTGCTGTGCCTTCTGTCTGCTCTGCTCTTGAACATGTCCCACCTTGGTAGTGGCTTGTCCCCATCTATAAGCCCTGGAGGGCAGGAGCTTTCCAGTGATGTGTCTGGTGTTAAAATCTCATGAACATTGGGGCTGGGGACAAATTTTGGTGGCTTGGGCATGTGATGGTCTCTTGGGAGTTTTTGGGATGATACGTCTGGTATGGGGGGGCTGGGGTTCTTGGGTGGACAATGCTTCACTTCTTTGCAGGAGGCTGATGACCTTGAACAACTGTGCCTCGATGAAACTGGAGGTTCATTTTCAATGCAAGCAGGCAAGTCCTAGGGAGGGTGCTGTCTGTGGTCTTGGGCCCCTGGCGGAGTACAGGACATGGGAAATTAGCTCCATCACCTTGGGAGTCTGAGGTATCCAGAAAAGTGCCCTTCTCCAGCATGGGAGAGGGTGTGGAGATCTCTGTGGGGGTCTTGGCAAACTTGGAGCATAATAGCGTTATCCTGACCCTTGGCCTCAGAAACTGCACTCAGCCCAACCTCTCCCTCCTGTGTTTACTAGGGAAATGCATGTGCTTCAACTACCTCCTTTGATGGCAGACTGTCTTTGACTTTAGGGTGTGTGTGTGTTTGTGTGTGTGTGTGTGGAGGGGTGCGGGGGAGGGAGGATGCGCACAGAAGCAGAATAATGCAGTAGAAAGAACATGGCATATATGGTCTGAGAAGCCAAGATTACCCAACCCCACAAGGTCTCATTCCTCTGACCTTCATTTTATACAGTAAATTGGGGTTGGTATCAATAGCTTCTCAAAGTTTTTTGTTACTCTGTCAATGTGGGGCTGCAAAAACCAAGAGGACTCTGGGCCTGCACATAGCCCTCACATGCGGAGTCCGGATGTACAGGTATCCCCTAGGGCTTTCTCGACCAGCTACCTGCCGTCGGTAGGTCAGCCAAATGACCAGAGCCTCGAACCAGGAAGCAAGAGACCCTTGGGACTGGTCCCAGCTCTGCCACTGACTACTGAGTGACTTCGGGCAAGCCTCTTCTCTCCCTGGGCCTCAGTTTCTCCACCTTGAAAAAGAGGAGAAAACATTAGAAAACCTAACATTTCCTTCCAGCTCTGGCATTCAGTGATTCTAATATAGGACTGTAGCCTAGATAATTGGGAGGCTGCTGAGGCCAGGAGGCCCATGGGCCTGGATTCTAACTCTGGTCTGTCACTGACATACTGCATGATGGTTGCGGGCGTGGGGCCAGGGGGGCGGGGTCTAGGTTTTCCTTTCTGTAAAGTAGTTGGAGTGGGGATGAGATTACTCAAATCATCATTATCACCCCCTCTAGGCCCCATCCATGACTCCCGGCTTCTTCCCACATTCCCAGAGCCAGTGGTTCCACTAAAACATATTCTCAAGCAGAAGGCAGGGCCTTGCACCTCTGTGTCCCCCAAGAGTTTGGAGACTGAGAGTGGAACACTAACAAGGGCTTGTGGGCTGGGTTTTTCTGACCTCCTGTGGCACCCTTCCCAGAATGAAGACTCAGAGGAGGAAGAGCAGTGTACTGTCAGCAACCACTGGGCCTTCCAGCAAGAAAATAAGTGCTGGTCTCGCATGGGTTCCTCTGATCTGCTGGCCCCACCGAGCACTAGCCTTCCAGTAACCTCCAGCTGTGAGAGTGTCCTCACCCAGCTTAGTGTCACCTCCTTGCCAGCCATTGCTGTGAGCTTACCGGCCCCCAAGCCAGCAGACCTGCCTTTGCTAGGCTGCACCCCGGGCCCAAGTGACCGGCCCCTCCTCAGCCCCACCCGTGGACAAAAGGGTCTCCAGTCTAAGGCCAAGAAGCACCGATCGCGTAGCTTCCTCAAGCACCTTGAGTCCTTGAGGCGGAAGGAGAAGGGTGGCGGTCGGCCAGCAGAGCCAGAGCGTAAGGCAGCCACCTTGGAGAAGACCATCAAAGCCTCCACTTCCCGCAGTCGCCGTGGCTTCCTCTCAGCTGGATTCTACAGGGCGAAGAACCAGACCATCGCTTCAGCCAGTGGCAGTGGCACTGAGACTCAGAGAGCCTGGGGGGACTGGCCTGCCACGTTCTGGCACCCTCAGCTGACACACAGGGGTGACTGTCTGGTGCACGTGCCCCGGGACCACAAGCCCGGCACATTCCCTCGCTCCCTCTCCATCGAGAGCCTGTGTCCTGACAATGAACACCGCCTGGCAGACTGGCAGCCAGGTAGGCGCTGGGGTTACGAGGGACGCCGCGGGTCCTGCGGCTCCACGGGCAGCCACGCCAGCACCTACGACAACTTGCCCGAGCTGTACCCGGTGGAGCCTCTGCTGGCCAGGGCTGAGGCTGAAGACGAAGATGAAGGGGAGGGCAGCTACGCCCACCTGGATGACATCCTTCAGCATGTATGGGGGCTGCAGCAACGGGTAGAGCTTTGGTCTCAGACCATGTACCCAGACTTGGGGCCTGGAGAGAAGGAAGAGGAAGAAGATGAGGAAGAAGAGGAAGAAACCACTTTGTCCATAGAAATAGCAACAGCTGAGGTTGAAGGCCAGGCTGAGGCTGTGAGCCAGGAGGAGGCTGTGGCCCTCAGACAGTCCCCTGTCCTGGGTCAGGCTGATGTGCAACCAGCAGCCCCACCTCAGGCTCCAGCTGAGGTCCAGGCTCCCACACAGGCAGAGGCTGAGTCCCCCGGCCCAGCCCAGGATGATGAGCAGGAGGCGACTTCAGGAGGGGAACCCACTTCTGTGGAAGAAGGACACTCCATTTCTGACACTGGGGCCTCCTCTAGTGAACTGGACAGCAGTGGGAGCTTCATGAATGAGGGTGAAGCTGCAGGGCCCCCAGCTGGACTCCAGGCAGCAGCCCCCCGGGAACGGCGAGATTCAGGTGTTGGGGCCTCGCTTACCAGACCCTGCAGGTAGGACTTCAGGGTAGATATGGAGCCAGGCTCCTCTGTTGTCTCTCTCCCCTCCACTCTCTTTCCCTCCCCACTCCTGTGCCGCCTCCCTTTTAAGTGAGTTTCTCAGCGGAGAAGACCAGGGTTAGTTTCTTGGGAATGCGTTGGTTGCCTCCAGGCAGCCAGTCGCAGGAGGGAAATGGGAAGCCTGCAGGACTGCAAAATACAGTGTTAGTTTAGGCCCTGCTTATGCTATGACCTTGAACAAATTGTAGCTCTTCTTTCTGCCTGTTTCCCCATGTGGAAACTGAAGGTGTTAGAGGAGATGGTCTCTGATCCTCACTTTTCCATTCTGGGGTTTTCTGGAGCAGCCCCCGCACAGCAGTTTCAGTTGGGGGCTGGTACTGCCTGTTGTCACTAGGTGGCCATCCTCCCTGAGAGCATCTTGGCCACTGGGCAGCCTTGGCATCTAAAATGACATTACCACTCACCCTCAGGGCCCAGCAGCAATGTCAACAGTAGGTAGTTTCCCCTCCCCCTGACTTATTTTTCGTTTTGGGAGAATAAGGGAGTAGAATAACACAACCTTATCTAAGCTTTACCCAAACCTGCTCCTCTGGCTTCCTCCCCCGTGTCCTGAGCAGGAAGCTACGCTGGCACAGCTTCCAGAACTCCCACCGGCCCAGCCTCAACTCAGAGTCCCTAGAGATCAACCGACAATTTGCTGGCCAGATCCACCTTCTGCACAAGGGCTCACTGCTGCGCCTCACCGCCTTCATGGAGAAGTACACGGTGCCCCACAAACAGGGCTGGGTCTGGTGAGTGCTTCTGGGCCACTGGGGGCAGACTGGGGAGCTCCCTTCCACATGCTGGCTTCTTGCCTGATCCCATGCCAGGGCATCGGGAGGGTGAGCCTCAGAGGGTGGCTGCCAACAGTCTTCCTGCCAGTTCAGTGGTCTGACGTATCAGACTGGAGGGGCTGTGGCTCTGGAGGCCAGTGTGGCTCTGGGTGACTGGTAGGGGGGCGATGCATATGGGGTCCCTGTGAGTATGGGTGTCATATTTGATGAAGGAAAGTGAACCTGGGGCTTTGAGCTGTGACTTTTCATGCCAACCTCCATGCCCCAACCAGGGACATTGGCTTAAAATGGAGCTTTGCTGGTCATTCTCCAGACCAGCTCCCTTCTGTGACTCCACGTTGTCAGAGGATTCCTTCCTATCGTAATCCTTTCACTGCTTCGTCTCTCAGGCTCTTTATTTGGCCACTCATAAGCAATGAGGTTTTTTAAAAAGATTTATTTAGTTGTGCATACAGAACTGGGGTACAGGCCAGAGGTGTGGGGGCAGTGAGAGGCTTCAACCGAGACAGAGTGGGGAGCAGAACAGGCAGATCAAAGAAGTACACTGCTGAGGGGATCAGCGGGCGGGTCAGGAGAGGTCTGCAGCATGTGGGTCACCTCTGGGGCAGGCGGGGATCTAACTCATGCTGAAGTGGCTTTAGCTTCTTAGTGCTGTGCTTTAACCCGCTGCACCACCAGGGAGAGCCAGCAATGAGTTTTATTTTGTTTTGTTTTGTTTTTTTAAAGATTTATTTATTCATACAGAACTGGGGTATAGGCCAGAAGCTCAGGGGCGGCGAGAGGCTTCACCAGAGACAGAGTGGGGAGCAGAACAGGCAGATCGACAAAGTACACTGCTGAGGGGAGCAGTGGGCGGGTCAGGAGAGGTCTGCCGCGCCATGTGGTAATCTCCGGGGCAGGCAGGGATCGAACCCATGTGGAAATGGCTTCAGATTCTCAGTGCTGTGCTTTAACCCGCTGCGCCACCAGGGAGGGCCAAGCAATGAGTTTTTTACTCCAGTGGGAGTGAAAATATGGACCATTAGAATGAGCTGGAGATCAAGCCCTTCAGTAGGTCACAAATGTAGATCAACATATGAATCTCAGTCTAACCTCCAAACAAAACTCTAGAAGTAACACGTGCTCTTTTTCCTGCCTCTTTGCCTTTGTGCATGCTGTTGTCTCTTCCTAGAATGCCTTTCCCCACTTCTCCTCTGGGATAATGTCCACCTACTCCTCAGGCGCCTGCTGAATTTCCCTCCTCTCTGTTGTCACAGCTACCTCCCTGACTAGACTGAGAGCTCCCTGCATTCTTCTGTGACTGCCCAGTGAATATTGACTCTGAGGGTGTGATGTGTTTCTTCTACTGCTCACCCCCTCCTGAGCCCCCTGAGATGGCAAACAGTCTCCAAGCCATTTCAGGGCCTGTTCCACCTTCTCCTCACAGCTTGTCCCTCCCCCAAACAGGTCAGTACCTAAATTTATGAAGAGGAATAAGACCCCAGACTACCGAGACCAGCACGTGTTTGGGGTGCCACCGCTCATCCACGTGCAGCGCACAGGCCAGCCGCTGCCACAAAGTATCCAGCAAGCCATGCGCTACTTGCGCAGCCAGTGCCTAGACCAGGTGAGCCCCTCCAGGAGCCACAGAGGTGGGCTTGCAAGGGCTGAGGCTGAGCGTTTGGTGAGGGAACTGCTCTGCCCCTGCCCCAGGGTCTGACTGGTCCACCAGAGACCTTTCCATTCTTCAGGAGGTCCCAGCAAGGATAGAACCAAATCTCCCTTCTGCATAGCCCTGTGCTAACTTCTTTCTGGCATGGGTTCTGTTGCCTTAGCCTAGGCCCACCTTGGCCTACTTATGACTAGAAAACCATCTTTTGCCTTGGCTGAAACCATTAACCCCTTCTTCTGGTATTACCATTCTCACCTCCCATGCCCAGTGGGAAGCCTTCAAGGCTTGGAGCTCTCTGGGAGACAGCCCACACTCCTGACCCATGGGCCAGAGTTGGCCTCATGGTCCCCCTCAACTCTCCCACCTTTCTACCCTACTTCCCTTCCCTCCTTTGCATGGGCCAGGTGGGCATCTTCCGGAAGTCTGGGGTGAAGTCCAGGATCCAGAACCTGCGCCAGATGAATGAGACTTCCCCTGACCATGTCTGTTATGAGGGCCAGTCGGCTTATGATGTGGCTGACTTGCTGAAGCAGTATTTCCGGGACCTGCCCGAGCCTATCTTCACCAGCAAGCTCACCACCACTTTCCTGCAGATCTACCAACGTGAGTTTCCTACACTTGCCCCCAGCAAACTGCTCTCTCTCATCCTCCCCGAATCCAAGGGGTTGTGGGAGATAAACCTCATGCGTGCAAATGGAGCCTCACCTGTGAGGTCATTGGATCATTCATCATCTTGCTTTGGGGAGAGATCACATTGTACTCCCCAAGCCCATCATGTGGAAGGATAGACTGAGGCACCCAAGGAAAGGTAGGCACTTACCCAAGGTCACTCTGTACACTGGCAGCAGAGCTCCATTTAGCACCCAGAGCCCATCCCAACCCCTTCCCTCTGCCCAACTTCCCTCGGCACTGCTGTGCCTTCTGCATTCCCAAAAGCAGGAGGTATGCAACTGGGCCGCTTGGGGAATAAGGAGGCCTTTCTCCATTCCTTCCTCACAGTCCTGCCCAAGGATCAATGGCTGGCAGCAGCTCAAGCCGCTACCCTGCTACTCCCTGATGAGAACCGAGAGGTGCTACAGACCCTGCTCTATTTCCTAAGTGACATTGCCTCTGCCGAGGAGAACCAGATGACAGCCGGCAACCTGGCAGTGTGCCTGGCACCGTCTATATTCCACCTCAACGTCTCCAAGAAGGATAGCCCTTCACCCAGGTGAAGCAGGGCAGGGTGGGGCAGGGCAGGGCAGGGCAGGGCAGGGCCAGGGAGGTCCCACTGGATTTTTTGGGTCCCACTGGATTTTTGGCCCTTGAATGCTGGTACTGTAATTCTCCTGTACCACCACAAGGGGCCAGCCTGACTCCTCAGGCACCATGGGGATGCTGTGGAGCAGGACTTTTTGTCTCCGCTACTGGCAGGAAGATGGAAGCTAGTAGCTTCTCAGCTGTCTTGCCTCATGCCCTTGTGCTAGCTTTTTCTCCCTGGGCCTTCCCTCCAGGATCAAGAGCAAACGCAGCTTGGTTGGCCGGCCAGGCCCTCGGGACTTGAGTGAGAACATGGCTGCCACCCAGGGCCTATCACACATGATCAGTGACTGCAAGAAGCTTTTCCAGGTAAGTTACTCTGGCCCACAGTGCCTCCTTCCCAGACCCAGGTAACCATTTGCACCAGAGTCAGGGGTTGGGGTCAACTCGACACATCCGCCTCAACCTCCACCTTTCAACTCTTCTCCCGAAAGATTCCTCACCACTCTCACTGCAGGAGCTAGGCCTGTCTACCCCCTTAACTGCTGATGCTCCCCGTGACCCCTGGTCCAGTGTGTGTGCCCCCCCCCAGGTGCCCCAGGACATGGTGCTGCAGTTGTGTGGCTCCTACAACGCAGCTGAACTCAGCCCTCCTGGCCCAGCCCTGGCTGAACTGAGGCAGGCCCGGGCAGCTGGAGTGAGCCTGAGCCTCTACATGGAAGAGAGCATCCAAGAGCTGCTGCGCGATGCTGCCGAGCGCTTCAAGGGCTGGATGAGCGTGCCAGGCCCCCAGCACACAGAGCTGGCTTGCAGGAAGGTGAGTCTGGCTATCTCCCGCTGCCAGGCAGCTAAGAGAGGGTGTGCTGCAGGCAGGGGCTCCAGATCCCCAAAGGAGGAGCTCCCTGACAGCCTCACTGTGCACGCATCTGATTCTTGGAGAATGTCAGCCAGCAGAGCAATTACCTTCAGGGATCGAGAAGCATGAGATCAAGGGGTTCCTCTCTGGATCCCTGCTGGACTTACCTTGCCAAAGCCCTGCTCACACTCCCATCCGTCCCTGCGCCAATATGTTTAGCCCCCGACATTTCCATCCTTGGTACTTTACCTGTGCTGTCCTGTGGCCTGACAGACCTGTCCCCAAGCACTGCATTTCTCAGCCTCTTGAAGCCCCAACTTAACCACTTACTGTGCCACCTTCTCCATCCACAATTGCTGTCATGCCGCAGGCTAGAAATGACTCTCCTTGCACTGGTCATGTTCTCTTGGAATCTGATCCTGACTAAGATCACAATGCTGATGTTTGCCATATGTTACAGTCATAATAAAAGCTTCCTTATAGGGCCGCAGTGGGGAGAGGCTCGGTTGGTACCTGGCAAAGCCTCTGTCGATGGCCATTTGTGTGGCCTGCACGGTCTGCCATCCACACGAGGTAGTGATGCCTTTAGAACCATCACCACCTCCCAGTTCTGTTCACTTGCAGAAATCCGAAGCACTGTGCCTGTTTTGTGATAGAGCCCAGTAGGCCTCAGGGAGCCCGTGTCCTGTCACCTCCATGTACTCTGGATGGGACAGAGTACCTGAAATGGAGAGGGGGACCAGGAATGCAGGACAGCCAGTGTCTCAGTGAGCGCAGGTCAGGCCTGAGGCTGAAGTGGGAGTGGCCCGGCCCTGACAGCTGCCTTCTGCCCCCATCTTCATGACTGACAGGCAGCAGATGGCCACCCCTTACGTGTGTGGAAAGCGTCCACAGAAGTAGCGGCCCCTCCGGCTGTGGTGCTGCACCGCATTCTGCGGGAACGGGCCCTCTGGGATGAAGACTTGCTGCGGGCCCAGGTGCTGGAAGCCCTGATGCCTGGTGTGGAGCTGTACCACTATGTCACGGACAGCATGGCGCCCCACCCCTGCCGTGACTTCGTGGTGCTCCGGTGAGGAGCCCTGGCCCTTCCCCTGCTGTGCTCTGGGGTACCGCGGAGGTGGGTGGGCAGCCGCCAGAGGAACCTGAATGTGTGTGGCGCTTCCCTGCAGGATGTGGCGCTCAGACCTGCCTCGTGGGGGTTGCCTGCTGGTCTCCCAGTCGCTGGATCCCGAGCAGCCTGTGCCAGAGTCAGGGGTCCGGGCCCTAATGCTCACTTCCCAGTACCTCATGGAGCCTTGTGGCCTGGGCCGCTCCCGGCTCACTCACATCTGCCGTGCTGACCTCAGGTACCAGACCCCATAGCCTTGGCCCCTTCCTGGTCTCTGTGCCAGGCCTCTGATCCCCCAAGGCTGGGGCCAAGTCCTTTCTTTCCTCTCGCGGCAAGGGCTCAGGGAATAACCACTGCTCACATATGCCTGCTTCTGCCTCCCCAGGGGCCGTTCTCCTGACTGGTACAACAAAGTCTTTGGGCACCTGTGTGCCATGGAAGTGGCAAAGATCCGGGACTCCTTCCCCATCCTTCAGACAGCTGGCCCTGAAACAAAGTTGTGAGCTTCGGCCTGAACCCAGGATGGCACCACTCTGGAGCCCTAATGCTGAGGGTATAACGGGGGAGAGGGAGCAGCACAGCCCCCAGAGATGGCATCTAGGGGCAGAACTGGGTCTGTGTGCCCCCCTTGTCTTTCCTCCTCTTTTCCCAAAGCTCCTCTGAACATACAGGACAGGAAAAGAGAATATCAGTGACCCATCTGCACTCCAGCACCACTTCCGCCCCCGGAACCTGTTCTCCCCTCCTGAGAGAGGGGGGTTTCCGAGTAGGAAGGTTGCCGCTGCCCTCCAGGCCCACTGGCCCAGCTGGTCTGACGCCTTGACAGCTTTCCCGCCTGCTGGGGAAGGAGGGAAAGCAGACTGCACCTTCAGCATTCTGTCAGACCGAGGAGAGGCCAAGCCACCCTTTTTCGGTGCTAGGGCCCTGTGCCATTGGACAGGAGGCTCTGATCCTGCCCATGGGGCCAACCTTGGCCCTAAAACTAGCTTTCCCAGAGAAATTTGCCCGGAGACAATGGGCACAGGCAGGCCAAGGGCAGCCCTGCCATCACGAGCTGTGTTAGTTGTATAAATAACGATGCTGACATTGATGAGGCTGATTTAAAGAGCAAGCACAGACGGGCCTCTAGCAGGTGACATGACGATTTGGCATAACTTGGGATTTGAGAGCGTGGGGTGGAGACCCTTCTTTTCTCAGGTCTCATGAGACCAATGAACCAGCCCCCATTGCGTTGGATCCCACACTTTGCCTGCCTCTCCCTGGGAGCCCATGTAGCCTTTGACCATGAGCTGCCACTTCTGGAGAGCAGAGGGGCTCATTCGCAGTGTGCAGGCTGAGAGCAAAAGCATGTGGTGGCCGTGAGGTAGTAGCTGTGCCTTCGCCCCTTGTCCTGTTCTTCCTGCCTTTGGGAGTAGACCAGACCAACCTGACAGCTCCTTCAAGCAGAGACCTGACCCCTGGCTCTGGTGGTAAGCCAGCAGGTAGACGGGCCTAGTGTCATCTCAGTCTGATGTGTTTTATTCAGACCTGATCTATTCAGACCTGGCCATTTTGGTTCATATGGAACTTCAGATAACATGCAAATACCAACTAGTGATTGATAGTTCTTCCAGCTACATCAACTGGAGTGGGATGGTTCCCAGCCAACATCGTAATTTCTAAGCCCATCTGGTTTATTTGTACCTATAAATACTGTACAGTCAGAATATATATATATATATATATTTGTGTATATATAGACACACATATATCCACACTCATATATATTCTTTCATGAGTGTACTATAATCTGCGGGTGGGGCAGGGGTCTAGAAGGCCTCAAGGGAAAGGGCACTTAAGATGAGGGGGGCAGGCAGAGAGCAGGGTACATGTGACCCCTCAGCAGAACAATAAAGTATTACTGGAGATGCACTCTGGCTGCGTGGCTGTCTTGGCTGAGGCGACAAGTCCCACCTGTGGGACTGCCAGGTGGGGCAGATGACAGCATGGATTCAGTATTAGGTCTCAGGCTGTGAGCTTTTTTTCTCGAGGACTGGAGAAGGCTGCAGGAGGAATGGGGATGGGCTCAGCTCTTCTCTTTGGGAGGTGATTTGGAAATGGGGTGACAGGATTCTAAGGAACCAGGCCTTGGGCAGAAGCCACAAAGTCCTTCCTTGACCTGGCTGGTAACACTGATGTGAGCGGCCCACAAACAAGCTCAGGTGTCCTGACTGAAGCTCCATGGGAAGAGGAAGATGACAATGCTGGTCGTGCTGTCCTTTCCCCACTACACACACGATGTGTGGTAACCCAGTCCCAGAGGGCTTGAGGACCCTGTTCCAGGTGTCGATCAGTAGGAGAGCTCTGAGTGTGCGGCAGCCCTCAGCTCCAACAAAGTGACCACGAAGTCAGGGGGCCAGAGGGCCTTGCATTTTGACTTTCTCCCAGGAAAAAAGCTTGCCTTTGCCATGTCAGTGTAGGCTTCAAATGCCCAAGCTTGGAGGGGCAAGAGAGAGTACAGCCTTTGCAGTCAAGTCTGTGCTGAGCAGTCTGGGCAAGCATTTCTTCTACGCCTCAACCTCTTCAGAGAGGAAGAGGGCCAGTGATACCTGATGCTAGCCTGGCTCAGTAGTGTTCAGGCTTACCTGCCCCAGTCTGCACCCCTCCAGCCTGAACAGGTTGGGGTGCCTTCCCTGCCTCACTTCTCTGTCACTGCCTTCCATTCCCTTGGGCTCTGCTTTGCCTTTTCTCACTGCTGCAGTGGAGCTGCAGACCTGTGAGCCTCTTGGATTTGGGGAAACCGTGGCGGTACCTACAGCTGCGTGTGACAGGGTGAGTGTTAAGGGATAGCAGTGTGATGCTTCAGTTAGAACTTTTGGAGGAATGCCATCAGGGGTTTTCTGACACAAGAATGACTCTACTTTTTCGAAGTGATGAATACTGTGAAGGTGAGCAGGATAAAAACCCAGGAGGGGATGGTCATTATGAGAAAGTTATGAGGGAGCATTTGGGGTGGGCTTGAGATTTCCCAGTTGTGGACTCTGCTGTCCTGGACCCCGACATCCAGCATCCTGGGAGAGGCAATGCCAAGCAAGAGGCCTTCCTTGGACCTCAGTGTCGAACCGTCCATGAAGCAGAGGCTGCCATCTCCTCTCTGCCCAGCTCGCGAAGCAGTCTGTGAATGGATCGCCGCAGCCTATAGGACCTGAGGAAGGAGAGGGCGTCATCTATGCAAAGTTTTAGCATGGAAGATTTCTGGGCAGTTCACTAACTGTTCATCTGTTCCCGCCCAGCCTCAGCCATCCCCTCCTAACCATCTTGCCCACCCCCCCCCCCCCCCCCCCCCCCGTTACCCCTCACTTTTTGAGTGGATTTTGGTCACATAAAACTAACCTCAAATGTACCAGCATATCTCTTCACCTAGGTGGTGCCATGAGGGACAGGATCAGGTGAGTCATCCCCGGGTCAAGTGCCTACAACCTGTACAGTCTGAGAGCACAGGGAGTGTTGCTCAGTGTCCTCAAGCCAAGCAGGTGTATGGTGGGGAGGGGGAGCAAGGAGTGTGAGAGTGCATGACTGGGAAGGGTGAGTGATGGTGTCAGCAAACCTCATCTACTCTCCAGGAGGGAGATTATGGCCACTGTGGAAGAAAATCAGCAGGCAGTTTAAACATAATTGTGGAAGAAAATCAGTAAAATCAGGGCACAAAGCAAAATAGACCCAGACTGAATGAGCACAGAGATTTGCTGTGAAGAAGAAAAGCACCCTGCAGATACCACTCCCTGTGGCCCCCACAGCCAGAGTTTGTAGTCTGGACGCCTAGAGTACCCCCTGAAGCCACACAAAACGTCCAGCTAAACAGGATCCAACTACAGAGGCATTTTCTGTGTGATAGATTTTTCTCTCCTAAAGTTCTCACCTTGCTCACATGCAGATTGTGTTGGCACAGAGATCATGATCCTTTGAGCTTAGAGTATGCATATCTTACTCTGTCAGGATGATAGGAAGTGAGCATATGCCCATTAAAATGAATGCTCACCTGCTTAATGTGGGTTTTTTTTGTTTTCATGCTTGCTATTTTGCTTTGTTTTACTGAGAATAACCCTGCCTCTCTAAGTCGGATCCTACCTCATAGGAGTTCTGGAAGAAACTTTTTGACTCTGAAAAGAAAGTTTCCTTTTCTCCACAAGGTGGTTATTATTTTTCAGTCAAACTGCTGACTGCCTACTGTATACCAGGCACCACACCATCCATTTTCCCACACAAGATGTCCTCTGTCCTCAAAAGTCCCCTGTGAGGTGTTGGCATCCACCTTCTCAGGATGGAGATCTGAGTGGCAAGGAGACTTGCCTGGGGTTCAAAGCAAGCAAGCAGCTCAACTAGGATTTCAGTCCAGACTCCCAAGTCTTATTTGTTCCCTACTACAGCCCAGTATAAAAGGAGAGGAAGCTCCTTCTGCTCACTGGAGGCCTCGAGTTGGTCTAACAGTGGGGAGGGAACTGAAAGTGGCTATTGGATAAAGGAGGAAACGCATTTGGAGAACACTGGCGGAAGGGAAGTAAGGCCAGGAGGAAGGAAGGGCCAGGGCTGCAGGGTGTGAATTGTGGGGTCATGGGAGCTGCCTGTTCTGTCTCCAGCCCAGCCCTGCTAGGAGTTGGCCTCCCCGGCCCTGCCTCTCGGATTCCAGCATGGTTAGGAAGGGTCCAAGGGTACACTGGGCTGCGGTGGGGCCACTCAGACTAGTTGAATTTGGCAGTGTGGGCCTGGAGTTGAACAGAGACAGGGCCACATGTGGAGTTCATGCCCTAGCTACATTTGCTTTGGTGTCCCCTTCCTTCAGAAACTATTAAAAATGTATTTTGGACTGTGTTGATATAAAGATGAGTGGTATCTAGGCTGCCATATGTTAATCATTATCTATTCACTGTTATTATGTTCAATTTTTTTTCTTCTAATGCTAAAACAAATTAAAATTATAGCATTTTTGAGGGCCTGAAGTTCTGTGCCTACTATACCTAGCAGTAAGTTGGCCCTGGCAGAAGGCAGCAAAAAAGGAATGTCTGTACAAAAGTTCAAGCACTGTTGCTCAGGGGATCGAGGCTTCAAGGCCTGAGCAGCTGGATGCCTTCCTCTACACTTTCAGCACATTAAGCACATGTGACCACAGCAGCGCTTTCTGCTGCCCTTGCTGGAGTAGAGGCCATCCTTCGTCTTCCCCAGCTTCATCCCAGCTCTGCTTCCTTGTTTAGCGGAGCAAGCAACTTTCTGTCAGGGCCCCTAGTTGGCTCCTGTGACCTCAGACAATCTCCTTAACATCTAGTGAAAGCAATTCATGGTCAGGACCCCTGGTAGGGCTCGTGGGCTCTCAGCTTCCTCTCCTCTGAGGCAAAGAGGAAGAGCTGGGCCCAGTCTGAGGCTGGCCTCCTTCCAATCAGCTCCTGGGGGAATAGGGACTGAACCTGTGGTTCCAGCTTGTCCATGGAGTAGGACACGGTGTCCAGGTCACAGAACAATGCCAACATGAACAAGCGCTGATTGTGTAGACAGAGGAAGCGGTCATGTCCTGGCTGGTGACAACTTTATGAGGAAGAGAAGCAGGCATGATGGAGGAGGGGCAGTTCAAGTGACAAAGTGGGAAGGAAGCAGGGTGTTAAGAAGGCTGGCAGGACTCAGGGCCCAGGAAAACATGGAAGAACCACAGAAAGAGAAAACAACCTTTCATTTCTATGGCTGACAAAACTCACATACCTGTTTTCTCATACCCTACAGCTGGGTACAATTTTTCAACCCCATTTTAGAGGTGCAGAAACTGAGACTCAAAGAGGTAAAGGAAGAAAGTTGTCCACAATTATACTCAGGTAGTTAGCGGGGAAGCTAGATGGGAACAAGGTGGGTCTTTGTGGTCCAGTGTTGAGTAAGTGGGAAAGAGCAGCCAGTGAGAGCAGGCAACACACTGGGTGAGTGAGGCAGGAGGGCCTTTTCTTGGGGTTTTACATGTCTGGGAAACTAGGTAAACCACTGCCACTAAACTATACTTGATTTTCTCCCAAGTGATCCAAAACAATACCAAAAACAATACCAGCTAAAACAATACCAGCTAACACTCAGGGCTTATGCCAAGCCCGGCCCACTCACTCACATACCCTTCCTCCTCTACGCTGAGTGTTGCACTTGCCAGGTCAAGCACTATACTGAGACCTGATAACCATTAGCCCATCTGTCTTTCACCCCACCCTTTGATTGACAGCCCCATTTTATTGAAACCCAGAGAGGGGCTCAGTGAGGGACTTCTGTGAGATCACAGAACTAACAAATGGGGGAGTCTGGGTTTGAAGCTTGGCCTGAAGACAGGAAAGACCAAAGCCTGACTGGGTTGTGCAAGGTGGTGCGGCAAGCTGGGCAGAGTAGAGGCTGAAAATGAAGCCCAGTCAGAGCAGGAACAACAAATGATAAGCTCTGTTCTTCACCCACAGGGTGGTGAGAAAATGGATTCCTTGCCTATGGGCACAAGAATGGAAGTAGGTCTAGGAAGCAGCTGGAGAGAGTGGGGCTGGATGTTAGGAAGCACTTCCTTATTCTGGGAGTCACTAAAGCATTGCCTCTCTTGCTTGGGAGCTAGGAACTGGCTATAATGACTCCCATGAGACCTGGAATTTGAAACTGAATTTGAAGAGGACCGGCAAGTATTCCAGTTGTGAAGCACACAGCAGGGCTGAGCTCCCGCTCTGGAGAGCAGCTCACGGGAACAGGTGGGAGGAGGACAAATGGACCTGAGTCCCAAGCACTAGATTTTCCCAACATCTGCCTTGTTAGGTCAGGCCTGGCCCTGGCTGAGTGTTTGACTGTTTACACCTGAGTGGCACACTTAACTTCCTACTCTGACTGAGGCCTAGAGGCACAGCACCACAGAGGGCTTTGTAACTTTGAATCCC